CGAAAGGAAAAGCAAAATCTATTAAAATATTGCGATGATTCAATACAAGCAGTTGCTGCCCGCACAGGGCCTGTGACAAGAGGGCTCGTACCCGGGACTGCCGCAGGCCCTGCGTGGCTGGGTTACAGGTTTCTTTACCTTTGGCCTAACACATCAGCATTGTGTGAGACTTCGCCCAGCGACTGCGTGATTGCATAGAGCAGGCAGGCTGGTTGTTTTGTTTGGTTGGGGTTTTTTTGCTAGTCCTAAGTTTTGAATTTCTCAAGCCCTTTTATGCTAGAATTTACAAGGGAATACAGGCCTGTGTCTATTTTTTAGGCTATTCTTTAGGGTTCCGGACGTTTGAAGATTCCTTATTAGCTGCTACAAGATTTAGTCAATAGTAAAAATAGTTTTCTAATTTTCCTGCAGAAGGTTTACGTATCCATGTGAGTCTCTTTTATCTTTTTTTTTTTTTTAAGTATCTGTTCCAGTCTCTTTTCTATATGTTGGCTAAAGCTTTCACGTTTGGTAAAACCTCAGCCCTTGTAGCGTCTCTTCCTTAGCTCTCAGCACTTATTAGAAAAGACATGAGGTTTATTAGCTCCACATTATGAACAGAGAAACCGAGGCACAGAGAACCAATGCCAACAAAAGGAAGAGCAGAGCAAGGACCCGGCCTGGCTGCTCTGCAGGTGGCCTTTTTGGCAATTCATCCCATGATCCAAAACCAGCAGCAACTGCGGTTGTGGCAAGGGGGCCCACTAAGGGCCCTACCCAGCACGTGAATTCACGTGCTGCAAGCCCCAGGTTTTTGCCTGGTCATAGATCTGCAGTGTGGGGAAGGTAACAAACTGCTCGGTTATCCACTTCGATTGTACCAAAACCTATTTGTTTAAACACACGGGCTCGTTACGCTGATGGTGACTTAAGGGAGTCCTGCCTTATTTCCTTCGGACTGCGTGCCAGACGGAGGCAGTCTTTAAATAGCTTTTCTTACTAACTGAAATGAAAATGTGAAGTAGGGAGTCTTTATTGCCTGTTGAATGCAACGTTTTTGGTAGCATTCCTAAGGACGATGCAGGTAGCCCAGATTAGCTGAGACTAGCATCCGCTCATCTGGTAGCCATTCACAGGTCTCTTTAAAATTATCTGGTGGCCTGTAGCCAGGCTTATCTCACACTGAATAGGCTTTCTTCTCAACAATCTTCTCTGCTACTGTGAAAAGCTAGTTCCTCCCAAGCAAACCATATTAAAAAAAAAAATACCCCAGAATGCCTCCCTGCACCATATGCGTATTTGGTGCTGGTGGGTACTGTGGTGGCATTAGAAAAAAACCAAACCAACCAAGAAAAACAGAAACAAACAAACAAACAAAACAGTAACAAAAAAAACCCTGGCGTGTTTGTGGTCTTAGCTTACGCCCATCGCCAGGGCTTTGGTATCTAGGGCCCACTCCGAAGGCGATGGCAGCAGTGGGCAGCCTGATAACAGGCACCGCGGGACAGGCTGGTGAGAGCTCTGCCCGGCGGCGGGCTGCTCCTCAGCTCCGCCGTGCCAAAAGGCCCTGGAAGCCAGCCCTGCCGCCACCGTCCCCTCGTCCTCTGGTGACGCTCGCGCCGCTAATCTGCAGTAGCACATGGTCGGTGGCTGTGCCTGGGGAGCGCGCTCGGGCAGTTCACAGGCTTGAGGTTTCGCAGAGCTGAGGAGCGCCAGGCCTGCAAACAAAATCTACAGAGAAACAGGCTTTTCATGGCCCAGGTTTGGTGTGAAGACAGACGGGGAGGTTCACAGACGTGCAGTTGGGGAGGAGAGGGAGAAGAGGCACAAGCCCACCTCTGTTTCACAAAGCGCCTCGGGTGCTTTGTGTCCTGTGCCATAATCTTTAAGACGCTATAAGGAAGTGCTTCAGAGGAGGCACATGATTCCGGGGAGCTACTTTTAGCAAGAGAAAAACCAATGTGAAGTGATTGCATGTTTCTTTCACTTCCTTTTTTTTTTTTTTTTTCTTTGCTTGTGAGATGCTCTCAGTGCGTATATTTATTGCTGAAATTATTTTGCCAATTTTTTGGATGGTGAATTAGCGTCTTCAGCCTCTTCGTAAGTTGTGGCTGTTGTAGATTAATACATTGCGTATTTTAAGCAGTATTTATTTAGTGTCAGTAGCTCTCTGACACATTGTGTCCATGCAGCTCCCGTTCAGAACGCAGCAATTGAATATACAACTCGGAAGCGCTCTATTACTTTTAGCTAAGCATAGTTGGAGAAAACAAATATGGAATGCACATGAATAAAATTAAATTTTATTACCAAATTACCAAACCAAATAACCTTCCCAGAGTTTTGTCTTAAGAAAGTGTAGAAGATACCCAATGCCTTTGTAGAAAATAGCTAGAACGTGGAAGTGGAACATAACTGTTACGTTGTCTTGCTGAGTAAACTAAACTGTTCAGAGAATACTTATTTTTTGGAAAATGATATAACTGTTGCGTTTTAAGGAAGCAAAATTAATCTACCTGAATTTTAAGTCTTGCTTTTATTGCTCCCGACTGAGGACAGCTCATGGCTTGGCAGAGCGTTTGCTAGCTGCTTTTTTTGCAATGCACTTCTGGTGCTAAACTTTGTCTTAAGAGCAGTTGTCTGTTCCTCCATTGGCTGGTGGAAGAAGTGGAAGTCATCTGTGGTGGGGAAGTCTGGGATAAGCTGATTTTTCTTCTGGAACAATATGGAAGCTCAGAGATTCCTTATCTCCAGCAACCCATGAAGTGGTAAAGTAGTTACTTTCAATGAGGCAAGTCCTTCCACTGTCGTCTTTTTATACAAAATAATTTAAGGTGCTTTCCTAATTATAGTTCATTTTCCTGTCCTTAAAAGGAACACTTGCAAAGCACTGATAGTCGTCTGACATGTAATAAAACTACTACAAGCTTCCAGAAGACAGTCCGTTCTGGGTTTCTGTTGCTGAGTGATATTAGCCCTGTTTATCAGCAGGCAACAGACTGGGTCGTGTTTTGCTCAGCCTTGCATTGTTTCCTTTAATGCAGCGAAACATTTCACACAGTCAACATTACAGTTAACTTCAGCCGAACTGGGTTTTCACCTCTAGCATTTTCCTGGCAAGTTCTGAAATGCTACATCTCAGATATAAGAAAATAAGAAATATAAGAAATACCGTATTTCTTAATGGCAGGAAAGGAAGAGAGAGAAAGAAAGAGAGGGAGAGCATCTGTGCCAGTTAGTCACAAGTCGATTCAGATTTTAGATTGGCTGAAATCGATGGTTTCTTATTAAGTGTTTAAGGAACATATATCACCGAGAGTGCAGTGTTATATTTATGTTTTACAAAGTATTTTTTTTTGTTACTGATCCTGTCCCCCTCCTTCATGCGGTTAGGCACTGAGAATGACGCTTATTAGTGAACTGCAAGTTTGCCTGGCAGTGCGCTGAATGTTGTGATTACAGGAGGCTACTGCTCAAAGCTGTTATCATCTTTATTATGGATGTTATCCTGTATGACTGATATGATGTTAAAATTCAAATTATGTGGCAGAAGCACATGTACTTAATAAATTAAGATCACTCACTTCTGGCTATAATGTCTATATGTGCATATATATTTGTATATATATTATGTATAAAATAATGAAACATGAATACAATGTGCACAGCTATTCATGAATCACACTGTTTGCTGCCCAGAGAACTGGAATTAATTGTAAAGGGATGCGTGTGACAGTTTTCTTTTCCAAGCCACTCAGTAATGTACCTGTGCTCTTGTGCCCTGTACACAGGCAGGGAATAGGCACTTTGCCTCCTTGTGAAATGCTTTGATGAGCAGCCGAGTTACTGGCTACTCCCCTTGCTGGCTGGGTGACCGTCCCAGTAGTATAAAAAGGCCCCTTGGGGCGGTCTGTGCTGGGCGTAGCTGATACAGCAGCAGAAAGAGGGCTTGTTCTGGGGACTGCAGCCAGAAAACCTGTGTTAGGTTGTAGCCACCAACAGGTCTAAGCTACGCAAAATGCGTGAAATTGTGCATCTTCAGATTGGCCAGTGTGGGAACCAAATTGGAGCTAAGGTAAGGTCTCTTTTCAATATTGGTCGTTAGTAGTAAGTGCTATCAGTGGTAGCAGGTCAAACGTCATTAACGGATGGGGACTTTTGGGGGGAATAATTACTTTGTTCACGCAATGGTAGGATGCATGGCACGCTAGCGAATGTGAGCATTTTGATGTGAAAGTCGTAAGATGGGCTTGCTCCTCGTGCGAAGGTTAATGCTAAGATTGTCAAAGAATGAAACATCTGCAAGAGCTACGGCACAGTGATTCTGTTAAGTGCTCCAGAACATCCCGCTGGGACTGACATTCCCGGGGCACTACACTAGTCTGCAAAATACTGGGACAAGGGAAGGAGCCGGTAATTCCAGGGTTGCAAAGTTGTGATGCCAGTGCTTTAGTTCAGCCATACGGCAGTAACTCCGCCACGTTATAATCATTACTATGGGACTGTATCAGTCAACAGAATGACCTGTGCTATCAGTGACCAGTTCGGTTTTTCCAAGAGTGGCACAAAGTGCAGTTAAGGATTCTGCCTAACTGGCCTCCGGCGAGAGGCAGTCATGTTCAGTTGTAGGGTTCAAATACTGGCATGCTGTTACTTAGAAGTCGCTCATTGCCGACTTTGTGTGCTAGGAGAAAAAAAAGACCCAAACATTGCTTTTTGCTGTGTGATGCCTATCTTTTTTTTTTTTTTTTTAATTGATTAGTAGGAAGTTGTCAAAAAAAAGTATCTGGGTTAATTTGGATCTGGGAGGTCTTTGAGGACACATGGTAACCGAAGAATTGTTGTTGTGTTCTTCGTCCATTCCTTGCTCCCACAAATCTCACCTTGATTCCTTTCATTGGAACATGAAGCTGTGGATGGCCAGGGAATGTCATGTTAGACCCAGTGTGATAGTTGAAAGGTCTCTATTTTTTCTGTTTGTCTAATAAGACCCGTAGACAAGCGCACACACGCGCTAAACCACCATGCACATGTTGGCAATGGTGTATTTGTACACTCAAAATGAGACTGGATGCTAAACCAGAAGACCTTTAAAATTAAAATAGCCTGGTCATTATAGCAGGTGGGTGTGTCTACATTAACACTGCTGTGGCTGCTGCCTAGATAAGAGCCCCAGTACAAGACATCCATATGAATGTCAAGATAGGACATTTAGGACCAACATCTGTTTGTGGAAAGCATTGCTCGCATACAAATTTGTCGGAGCCAGCTTTGCCATGCCACAGTCCCATTTGTGCATGACAGGCCTCAACGCAACCCTCCCCAATCCACCCCCTGCCCCGACTTTTTTGTTAAGCTCATACCAACCAGCACCTGTGTTATTTAAACTAATATAAATTTTCCTTTGCTATAGAGGGAACAAATTGAGGGTCTCCACCTGTTAGTGCATGGGTGATAGCTGAGCAGCATAAATGGTCTACTAAACTTTTCCCTTGAACTTATTTGGGGAGGGGGGAGAGGAGGATCCCCGCTCTGATCTAATACGTAAATGGCAAAACATCCCCCGCTCCAGGCACGGTTCCCACTTTATGTGCCATCAGGCATGAGCACAGCAGAGCTGATGCTGAACACATCATGCTGGGGAAAAAAATGTTTGTGAACCTCTTTTTCAGTTCTGGGAGGTGATAAGTGATGAACATGGGATCGACATCGCTGGAAACTACCGGGGAGATGCATCGCTGCAGCTTGAGCGAATTAACGTGTACTTCAACGAGGCTTACTGTAAGTGCTCCGCACTGTTAGAGTGTTGGTAGAGCAATTTGCAGAGCCAACATGAAGGTTAAAATAACTACTTTAAAAAAAATAATATATCCCCAAATCACTGTAGGTGGGTTGGATTTTTCAGAGTAGATGATAAGCCTGTCTCTTTGACTTCTAACAGTAACTGTTCGCATTCATTTTCTTTTGTCCTAGCCCATAAATACGTGCCCCGTTCTATCTTGGTGGACCTGGAACCTGGTACGATGGACAGTGTACGGTCTAGCAAAATAGGCCCACTCTTTCGACCTGACAATTTTATTCATGGTATGTACAGCATGCTGTCAGCAAACTAACTAGAGTCAACTGTCCCAAAATGGCCTTTTAACTCCCATCTTTGTAGCCTTTAAAAATTCTCGTTAACTTTGTGGCTGTTCTTTCTGTAATTCTGTTTACAGGTAATTCAGGCGCTGGAAACAACTGGGCCAAGGGCCATTACACAGAAGGCGCTGAACTGATTGAAAACGTCATGGATGTGGTCAGGAATGAGTGTGAGAGCTGTGACTGTCTTCAGGGATTCCAGCTCATCCATTCGCTTGGAGGTGGTACAGGCTCAGGTATGGGCACGCTCCTCATCAACAAAATCAGAGAAGAATATCCCGACAGGATTATGAACACTTTCAGTGTTGTGCCTTCACCCAAAGTATCCGACACGGTCGTAGAGCCGTATAATGCCATCCTCTCCATCCATCAACTAATAGAGAATACAGATGAAACCTTTTGCATTGACAATGAAGCTCTATATGATATATGTTTTAGAACTTTAAAGCTCACCAATCCCACCTATGGTGACCTCAACCACTTAGTGTCCCTAACAATGAGCG